CCCCAAAACCCCAAAACCCCAAAACCCCAGGGCGAGATACATATTGATCAAATAAAGTTTTAAAAATTGTTAAATGCAAGATTGCTTATAGGAATATATTTAGTTTAACAAACTCGGTTATAATAATATTCTAGCGAAAATAGAAGTTCAGTTGAGAAAGTCTTTGAGATTAGTTATGAAAGGGTTATCACTCACATTCTTTGGTTGCTTCTCAACTTTTTCAAGATACTTTACGATGTCTTCGAAGCCAGGTCTTCTTTCCTATTCAAATAGAAGACAGTTATTAATTATTTTCTTCAGATACTTATTTGACTTCGGCGGTGGGGTTAGCTTATCACCGAAGTAGCCTACGATTCCAGTTATCTAGGCAAAAGATCTTCCTTCATAAGGAACTAATCCAGTCATCATCTCCCATAAGATTACTCCAAATGAGTATACATCAGAGGACTCCTCATAGCTCTCTCCTCTCAAAATTTCTGGAGCCATCCAAAAAGGTGTGCCAACTTTGCCCTTATTTTCATTTTAGAATTTGTATTTATATCTGGCTAAGCCGAAATCACATAGCTTAATCGTCCAATCGTCACAAACCTAGCATTTTAATCATTAATACAATATTTTACTAGAATATTCTATGTCTTAAGGTCACAATGAAGAATTTTCTTCTTGTGCAAGTAGCATAATGCTATGGCAATTTATTTTGCAATGGTAAATATTCTCTCTTCATCAAATTGATATTTTTTATTGTGCAGTAATTCATACAAGCTACCCTTTTAAGCAAACCTGTAACTTAATTACTTGAATTTAAACTTACTCAGTGACCATGTAGTATTACTGGTTTTAATCAAATGATACTCCCATGTAGAGTACAATATTTGGATGTCTTAAGCTGTGAACAACTTAAATTTCCTTAATAAAATCTTTCAAAGCCTTTTTGTTATTAGTAATCTTTGCAAATCTCTTAATAGCAACTTTCACGCCAAGCCATTTACCTTAATAGACTAACCCATATGCACCTCCTCCTATAAAATCCTTCTTTTAGTCAAAGATTATATCTTTAAATTCTATTAAGAAATTGAAGCCACTGTTTTTAAGTGACTTATAGAGAGCATCTCCAACAATATCGAAATCCTCATCATCATCGTCTAGTCTGTGATTATCATAATCTACGATGATTTAGCTATTTTTTTCATAAGTCTAAATACCCTGAAGATTTAAACTTAGTGAGATTTATTTGCTTTGATTAGTCATGTTCCCTCTTGTATTCAAGCCGCTAGATATTCCTGATATAAAGCTCTACTTTCTATTGTACTTCTAAGGAACTAAATTTATTCTACTCTAAATTTCAGATTCTATAACGGATTGATCTAGTTTTGGTGTAGATTTTAGAGTGTGAGATAGATTCATTTTATCAAGAGTCTAGTTGAGATCGTCAATTGAGATCTCTGTGTAATGATAATCAAAGTGACCATCATCCTTCCTAAACTTATTCCAAATTTCAATCAGTCTTTTGATTTGCTTTAATATTGCTTTTCGTTACCCAACATTATCAATTTTCAATGAATTCTGACAGGTTAATGATGATGTAAGCTTACAACAAGGTCATTCTCTGTCAAATTGATAAGTGCGTATCCATCAACATGATGCTTCTTAAATATTTTGACATAATCATCGAACTGATTTGCATGCATCCAAGATTCCACATCTTCAACTGACCATTCATTAACTATTAGAAGATTAAGCTTCAAAAAAATTTCTCCAATAATTTATTCCAATTAGCTTATATTTGCTAATAAATACTATTAAATAAATCACACCGCTACTGGAATCTTATTAAAGATCCTATTACTTACCATTTTTATTTCTTAGAATGATAGCAGTGATCTTGCTGAACGAATCAATCTCTTCTAAACAAGTGTTATTTGTATTTTGCTTTATTTGCATTCTCTCATGAATATTGTATCCTCTGTTGTTCTGATTATGTTTTTAGGTTTAGTATTGTCTCAAGTTTTTAATGGAGTTGGAATCACCCCCATTATTTTGACCGCTTCTATGACTGAGACTTGTTGTAGAGCCCTTTTGCGGATTTTAAGATGCATTCAAAGTAAGATACCTAGAACTGAAATTAGAGTCCTCAATCTTTTGATGCTTTAGTAGCAAGCCGTTGGTCCACTCTTCAATATACCTAGTGCCATCTGCCATTATTATCTCACCAGTTCCGTCTTTCTTATCATTTTTGAATGTACCATAATACTATATCCCATTAGTGCTCCAAAGAATCCCCTCGCCATCTCTCATATCATTCCTCCATTCACCTTCGTATCTTTCACCGTCCCCTGTGAAATGAGTTCCTCTACCATGCCTCTGTCCTTCAAGCCACTAGCCAACATATAAATCTTTGTTATAATAGAAACATCTCCCGTTTCCATGTCTTCTATTCTTGAGCCATTCCCCTTCATACTCATAATTCTTTTCCTTGTTTTTATCTGCGCATATATACCTTCCATGACCTTCTCTAATACTGCCTTTCATTTAGCCTAGAAAATTTTGAATTTCTTTTCTAATTACCTTCATATCTGTCCCCATTATGATAATTAATGACAATTAATTTTGACTGGAGTTCACTTTAAGCTTGATTGTTTCCCATAATAATTATTTAAATAAGCTATAAAAATTATTTTGATAATTTAATAATAATATTACAGATTTTTTTCCTTTTTAATCTATCTTCGAAATAATTTCTCAACTTCATTAGATAAATCTCTCGGGGTTTTGGGGTTTTGGGG